TCGGTGTTAAGTAGCAGGATGTCTCTTGAGAGACAAATACATGGACTCCAAACGTAGTATATGAAGATAATTCATTTTCTTATTTTTGCCTCACTGTCTTATACAATATTGATTTAATTTGTGTTTGCTTGGTGAGTTTCTTCCTTGTATAGTGTATAGTTGTAGAGTGACTGAATTGTGTTCTTTTTGAGCTTCTATAAAATCATATCTCTTGTTTAAACATAGGTGTTAGTGAAATAGATTTATGTTTTGGTCCAATCTTTAAGATGTAGATTCTGCTATAAACATAAATTCTAACAAGCTTTCTGCCTGCATCATAAAATCTATCAGTTACCATGATCAGCCATAGAACAACAAGTCTTAAACCTAGCAATGTTGGTCTCCGAAGCCTTAGGAAGATACATAATGAAATTTGGACCAGTCCATACACTTATAGTTGTACTTGTTGAATAAATTTTGAGCACCTCTGACGACAAATTGTGATGTCCACAGCCAGTGGTATACTGAGAGTTGCGGCAGTATCTGTTCAGATTAGGTTAGAGGAAGAGAGTTGGGAGGCAGCACTAATCTTATGTATAATAAGAGAGCTGTGTCTTTTGTTTGGGACACATCCGCCATGACAAGGAACACGACAGTGATGGAGATGATTTAATTGCATGGCGGCAGACTGTATATGATGATGCAAATTACATTGTTAGGGTGCTAGAAAATGGTATACAGCATGAATACATAAGAGAGGTATTTAGAAACTGCACACAATGTTAGTTGATTTTTTTTATTTTAATTTAGTTTTTTACATAAATCATTCAGATTTTATGTCAGAAGTTCAGAATTTTAGAAAAACAAAAATTGCGATCTCCTTTTGTGGAGCGTTGTGCCTCGTAAACTTGCAGCATGTTTTTACCTTCTGGAAAAACCCTGATCTGAGTTCAATGAAATTTTGCTGAAGTTTTCTATAGCCAAATGTGAACCAAAATTAAAATTACATGGACCGCCCCTCCTAAAGAGCGTCTGAAGGCCAGGGTCAAAAATGAATCAAATTCATTGAAATTTCAAAAATCTTCTTCCCAATACCTAAGTATGGGTAGAATCAAATACTCTTCATGAATGGAAGGGTCTTAAGGTGCTTTACCAAAGTTATAAATTTCATGACGCAAGATTATCTCATTTGTTCCCTAGTGAAGGGTAAAAGTTTACCGTAGTTTATGTAGGAAAATTAAATATTTGAGCATAATTTGTTTGTTTTTGAATTGGAAATAATTACAACTTATTAGAATTAGTACAAATGTATTGGATGACAGTATGATGATATACTCATATTGATCAAGGCTGACCCATAGGGGCTAATGGATGTAGCCAAAAGGGTCATTTTGACTGAAATTGCTAAAATCTTCCCCTTGATGCCCAAATTAGGTAGAATCAATTACCCTTAATGGATGTAAGGATCTTATAGGTACTTCACCAAAATTATAAATTTCATGACCCCAGTATCTCACATTTGCCTATGGGGAAGTGGTAAAGTCTTCTATAGTGTATATAGAAAAATTACACTTTGAGTATCTTTGTTTATTATCAGTTTGAAATAATGCCAATTTGAGTAGACTTGGGTGCTAGTATAGGAGGATCTGCAATGCTGATCCGGGCTGAACCCCTCAGAGTTGATGGGTGGGGCCAAAACGGGTCAAATTAACTCCAATTTCAAAAATCTTCACAATATCCTGATATAATGTAATCTTTTAAATATTCTTCATGGATGGAAGAGTTTATGTCGGAAAAGTACATTCCTGGGTTTGATATCTTTTAATTCAGATGTAGTTAGAAGCCTTAGCATGGGATGGTAATTAATTTTTAAGTACAGATTGCATTTGCATTACATGAACGATGAAGTTCAACCAAAAGGCTAGGCTATTCAAATCACACTGCATTCCTAGCTTTGCTTTATTCCCTTTTATGGACTGATCAGAAAAACAACATGGATGACAGGTGGCCATTTTGGATTTTGACATAATAGATGGTTATCAATATTTCTGGAGAAGTATTGGATGGATCATCCTCTGATTTCATCTGTAGGGACCCTTTAGCCCCTAGTTGACAGTAATAGATTGTTATTGATATTTCTTGGAAAGTACTCGATAGATCATTCACAAATTTCATTTGTAGATTCCCCTTAATCCGTAGTTTTTGCATTGTCTCATTTTCGAACTGATCTTAAAAATAACATGCCTGACAGTCAACCATCTTGGATTTTGGAATTAATAGTTTGTAACTTGAGAAATACTGCTATTCTGAGGAAAGACAAGATGGATATTTCTTAAACTTCATATGTAGGTCCCCTTGGTCTCTAGTTATGCATTGTCCCATTTTCACACTATTCAAGAAAACAGCATGGCTAACAGGTAGCTATCATGGATTTTGTCTGTAATAAATAGTATTCACAATTTCTTGAGCAGTATTGGAAGAATTGTTCTAAAATTTTATATGTAGGGATCTCTTTGCATTTGCATTTTCCCATTTTCAGACTGATCCCAAAAGCATGGCTGAAAGTTACTTGTATTGGTTTCGGACAGTATTAGTTTCTTTTTCCCTAATTATCCCCCATGAAACAAAATTTTGAGGGATATTAATTTGGGCTCTGTGTGTCATCTGTTTGTACTTGCGTCTGTGCTATAACTTCTTAACTGTTCAACTCAACTTCATAAAACATGCTGTATATATTAAGTTAATGACCCTGTTGTGCCTTTTGCTATTGACGAAATGTCATTTTTACACTTTTTCTGTTACCATGGAAACAGGTCTAAAAAAATAAAAATTGGTGTTTACTTTTCTTTCCTGGCTAGAACTTCGAAACCATTCCACTCAACTCCACAAAACTTTCTGTATATATTAGAATACTGTCCTAGTTGTGTTTTTTTTTTTTTTGCTATTGAAAACATTTCATTTTTTTTATATATATATTTTTTTCTGTTATCATGGAAACAGAGAACCCTTATCACAAGTTGCTGTTTTTCTGGACCAGTGCTCTGAAACTGTTCAAGATAATTGCTCTAGTAACTTTTGCTATAGGGAAGTTGTCCATTTAAAAACTTTTTCTATTACCATGGAAAACAGAAAGAACCAAATCACAAAGTTTATTTTTTTTCAGACCACTTCTCTTAAACCCTTCAAGATAATTACCAGATACTCAAAGCTTTGTACAGGCATCAAGCTAGTACATTCATAGTTCTCCATTACAATACTTGGTAAGGAACAATTCAAAATAACAAATCAAAATTAAACTGGTTATAATATTAACATATTTATATATATATATAATTCCTATTAAACAGCGTGGCACTGGGGATAATATCATGCTTTGCATTGTTTTTTTTCTGGAGACGTATTGGATAAAAATATTGATGAGGTTTACTTTTCTCAAAATATTTTGTACAAAGACACATCAATGAATTAGTAATGTTGCTACAGTGTGTTATCAACAACACAATATTAAATAATTGTATCAGACATATTAACTTGTCTGTATCTTCATCCTTTTTATCAAATAATCTAGATTTATCCTCAAATAAGCCCAGGCCTGCCAGGGAACATAGAAACGTAGAGCACAGATTTGGCTTACCAAAGGCCAATGAAACAGCATTCTTTTGTTATTCTGCTGAAGAGCAGTAGATATAGGTGGGCTTATTACCAGTCTTCCAGATCAATACATTGTATAACAGGTGACCTTTGACATCACAATTACATTATATGAATTCCATACAGAGTGATTGATGTTTATGGTAGAACTGTTTTTTCCCATTACATATATTCTTGCATGACTTGTTAATGAATATTACTAAGTCTGTTGACTCCCCATACAATAGCTGTAACAATAATGTCACAAACACTACTCACATATAACAGTATAATAGGACATCATCCCTGTAGACTAATGTAACCGTGCATACAACCCCAGCTTACCATACGGCTGCTCAACCAATTGAATTGAAGGGATATTTACTCTAGTTCAAAAACGGAATCCAGCCAACTTCTTGTGTACAGTTAAAAGATAAAATAATAATAATTATAAACATAATTTTATTCATATCAACACCAGCAAGCCTGCTGTCTTTATACGCCTGTGAAAAACTTGACAGGACGTTCACAGGATTACAGTATAATGTTGTCTGTCTTTCTGTTGTTAACTTTCATTTGGCTGGAGATTTCACCACCCAGTTTCTAACCCACCTTTTTAAAGCTTGGTAGGTTTAACCACCATAACATGAAGTTGTGTTTCCCTGAACAGCAGTTTGTTTGACTGTATTTAGAAGGGTTATTGCTGAACAAGAGAAATCACTTTACCCTGAAAGACAGAAAAGTGATTTGATGGGTAATGGTGTTTGAGAAGTCAGGAAAGTCAAAATGAACAGCTAGACTCTATAAGATGAGAGAAGTACTTGACTTAAAAAACTTGACTCTGGGGAAGTGACTTCACTCCAACCTGACTTACTTAGTTAGCATACTAGAGATAAACTTGACTCCTGAGGCAACCATAGAAGACAACTGACTCTGAAAAGATTCAGAGAAGTGCCTTAACTTGTGAAAAGAGCCTAGGAGAAGTTCATCTTATCTATAAAAGAAAACAGTTTCTAATTAAAATGGAATATTTAATCAAATATACCATACTAACTTTAAGAACTTTGAGAATTGGTGAGGGTAGGGGCAGGGGAGATATTCCTCAAAAATTTAAAAGCTAAAAATGAGCTAGTTATGTATTTGAGTGTTATGTATACAGTAGTATAGTACATTGTATGTTACGAGCGGGTGCCCCAATCAGTTTTTAATCATTCTCATATATATTAGTGCTTCTGGGTCAACTTAACAGGGTAATACGGAAGTCAAGAGAATTTTATAAAAACTTCTGACCATCTACATTTGCACTTTGTAATAGAAGAATATTAGGATCCCAGATAGAACATGATATGACTAAGTAGCAGTACGTTGTATTTATATCTTTTCTACTTTAGATGCTGTTACAGTTGTACTGTATAACACAATGAAAGAGTTCAACGAGATGCCTTCAGTGACTTCAGATCAGGTAGGTCTGTTCATTATAAAACAAAACTGTAATACTAGAGAGATTCAAAAAAGTCTTATTTACAGTACATGGCTATAGTTTTTTGTGTCACCAAGAAGTCCAAGGGGATTGTGTTGTTACATCAGCATTGTATATAGCTTTGTAATATATAGTCCTGATGTCACCAGTTTCGTCTTGTACCTTTGTGTTGTCAACAATGTAATGGTTTCTTTGTAGAATGTAATGAAACAGTTTTGTGTGTGCAGAAAACAAATCCGTTGCAGCAGAACTCTTGATTTAAGTTGAGAGAAACATGTATATTTGTTAGAACTTTTCACCGATTTGTAACGAAAATCTCGACTACGCAAATCTAGAAACTGTTGAGAAGCCTATCTGTAATCGCTGCACATAGAGCAATGTTTGTTCTGTTCCTGTTTTGCTAGTAAAGTCATTGTTTTGTCTTGTCAGCCATTTGTGCCTTATCAGGGTTAATTGCAAATTCAAACCTCAAAGTTTTGTGTGATATGTTTACATTACCATGTGATAGATAAGCTTTAGAGTAATGATTCATAGTAAGGTTCCTGTCTGAGTATGAACACTTTTATGATGGTAGGTGCCCGACTGCACAGGAAAAGGGTTGAAGTATTGTCTATTGTTTCTAGCATGTACCAGTATTGGTCTAGTGTTGATGTTCACTGTCTCATGTGTAGACATTAAAGCTTTAAACACTTGTTGATGTAACCACTTTTTAGACAAATGGGCATTAAATGCCTGTTGTTGTGACCTTCTTGTAGACATGTAGGCTGTAAATGCCTGTTGCTGGGGGTTGGAAGTAGGAGGTGGGGGGGGGGGGGGACGGTGGGGGTTATGTATCAAAAAATGCTGAAGCAATAATTCTCAAACTTGCCATAGTACAATTTTACGGTATGAAGTTATGTCCTGTCACTTTTTCGTAAAATTTCGACTATATTTTGTAGAGTTATGCCCCATTTTGTAGATTTTCTGTATGGAATATTGTGTCAAGTAGATCTAATAAAGAAATGGAGCAATATTGCTCAAACTGGGCATACTACATCCCTATGATATATGATAGTACCATTTTGCTTTTCATGAAATTTTGACATTTGTTAGAATTCTGTCCCTTTTTTGGCGACAAATAGGTATAAGTGTTGACGGTTTCAGCATGAGTTTCATCGTCTTCACAAAAGTTTTTTCACTATAACATCAGGTAACTTTGGCTGATCAAGTTCAAACTGTGCTTCCTTATCAAAAGTGCTTGCTTGGGATTGCTTTTCAGGTCCAAAGGTGAAAGGTCAAGGTCACTGTTACTATAAATAGAAAATTGGGTTTGTTTTTTGATAACTTGAATACAATTTGGCAGTTCAGCATCAACCTCAACTCCATACAGTGCTTCCTTATCAAAAGTGCTTCCTTTGGATTGCTTTTGAGGTTTGAAAGAATCTATCCTAGGGATTCAGTCCCCTGCGACACTATACATCTAATCTACAAGTTTACTCATGACATCTCAAACAAATTGAGGTTTTTTAATGTAAAACCAATTTTCATGATGTAATACTTACCATAACTTTAGTATGCAAATACAGTACCTACACCCATCTTTGTATCCCAACAACAAAAGATTCAAAAGAAAAACAATCCCGCCCTCCCTATGATCCATGAGCCATCACGGCAGGAACGCAGAGTGATCTCCCTTCCTCTAATAACCTTTATGGCGTAAACCCCACAGAGGGGCAGCCAGGCAGATAAGGAAGAGGGGAGGATAGGGTGGGACTCCATAAAGTTATGGTAAGTATTACATCATGAAAATTGGTTTTACATTAAAAAACCTCAATTTCATTTCAGTAATAATTACCATAACTTTAGTATGCGAATTCGTCTTACCGTAGTGGTGACTAGAAGCCAGGCAGCCCCTTCAGCACAACCAAAGTAGTAGGGAGGGAGAACAGAGTGCTAAAGTGAAGGAAGGGACCTCTCTGTGAAAGAGCAGGTGTACCCACATGCCGCCGTACGGAAAGACATGGCCCGGGGCTAACGAGGAGGCCCAGCCACTGACTATGCCACCACCAAAGGTCTCAATGAATACAGGCCTTCTGAGTGGGAAGCTAGGGATCACAGATAAAAATCTGTGAAGGTATCCCTGCCCTGCCAGAATACTGCAGACATGACCTCCTGAAAGGAGGACTCATTGAGAGAAGGGCCCAGGATGAAGCAAGGGCCCTGACCTCGTGAGACCGCGCTTTCGCTCTCGCCAGAGCCAGATCATCAAAATGCTCGTAAGCATACTAAATCACCTGGCAAACCCACCTGGAAACCGACTGGGAGGAGATATCTCGTTGTCCCTGTTTAATGGGCAAAACAGACGGGATCGAGAGCCCCGCCCCCCCCTGGTTTTATCAAGATAAAACCGAAGAGCCGGACAAAGACAAAGCAACCTATCTCGCTCCTCCGAGCTAGTCACAGCCAGGATCCTGATGGGATCGTGCGAGAACCCCGGAACCTGATTCTTCGCTAAAAACAACTCTATTCATAGCAAAGCCTCTGATTAGGGCAGAAAGAGAGGAGGACTAACCGATCTCCTTCCTGCCATAACAAGCAAGAACTCTAGCAATAGCTGTACGATAGCCTGCAATAGTGCCAGGTGGCAGATAGCGGTACCTAAACAGAGAGATTAGGAAGTCCGCAATCAAATGCAGAGGCTTCGAATGAATAAGCTTCCTTGCCGACACACCAATCACAGAAGATCATCCAACGTGACTGATAGAGGGCAGAAGAGGAAGCCCTGATTGATTGCTCAATGCAATCTGACACCTCTTGAGAAAAGCCTGCCTTGGCGTGGCTTCCAGAGATAGCCTCAACGCGTGAAGGTGGAGGATCTCTGGTCAAGAGTGTGTCGTTCTGGGTCAAGGCTGGCGAAGGAGATTCGGTTTGGTGGGGAGAGCCAAGAGCTCCTCCACCAGAAACGACAAGAGCTCCTGAAACCAAGCTTGCCTCGGCCACAGAGGGGCTCTCAGAAGTAAGGAGCAGTGATGCTCCCAGAACTTCTGTAGAACCCTGCCCACCAGGTTGAAGGGAGGGAATGCATATGCATACGTCCCTTCCTATTCCAGAGAAAGGGCGTCCACAGCCTACGCCTTACGGTCTGGGACCGGGGAGACGAAGGTTAGCAGCTGGTTGTTCAGGGAAGTGGCAAACAGGTCTATAATAGGTCTGTCCCACGCCTGACAATTCCCCTTGAAAATCAAGGGACACAGCTGCCATTCCGTCAACACCGGCTGGTGGCGCCTGGAGAGTGGCCACCAACACACTCAGGCTGCCAGAAAGATGCTTGACCGCTATGGTCAACTGCATGTCCTAGCAGAGAAGAAGGATGTGGATGGAGAGGGCACACAGGACATGAGACCTGGTGGCCCCTGTCTCTCCAGATACGCAACAACTGTTGTCGGTAGCCACACTTTGGACTGCAGGATACCCCTAAAGGACTGCAGAGCCAAATGAACAGTCTCATCTCGAGTACACTGATGTGCTCCGAGAGCTGTTCGCCAGACCACTCCCCCGAGCGGCATTGGCCATCGAGGTAAGCTCACATTCCTGTCATGAACGCGTCCATGAACAGGATCATAGAGGGGAAAGGCTTGGTCAGAGGTACCCCGTGGAAAACGTTCTCCTGAATGGTCCACCAGCAAGAGAACTCCCTGACCGACTGGGTAAGCGGGATCCAGGCCTCCTGGATGACGGAACCCAGTCAGACAGGAGGAACATCTGGAGAGGTCCGATGTGAATCCTCCCTAGGGGGACCACATATGCCAAGGAGTTGAGATACCCCAGAAAACTGAGGAACCAATGTACCTGGACAAGCGACCAAGTGATGAAAGTCAGAGCCAGAGCCCTGACCTTCTCAAACTTCTCCAGAGGTGGAAGGGCTAAGCCCCGAACCATGTCAAAATGGTTCCCCAGGAAGAAGAAGTCCTAATATGAAGGAACCTCTGACTTCTCTCTGGAAGGAATGAAACCGACTCTGAGCAAGAGTTTCAGGACCAGACGAGTGTCCTTCACTAACGATTCCCACACCCAAAAGAGGCATGAGGGAGTCGTCGAAATAGATGTAGACGTCTATTCTGCATGAGTGAAGGAAACACCAGCAGCAACTTGGTGAACACCAAAGGAGCTGTCGTGAGCCCCAAGGGCATCTCTGCCTTGGCAGCATGGTCCCTACTTCCTCTTGGAGCACCCCTGCCCTTTCTGAATCCCCGGGAGGAGGAAAGAAACAAAAATGGCTGGGAGGCGAGGGACGAATCCTGAAGAAGGGGAATACCTAGACCCTCCCTGACCACCGACAAAAGCCCAAGCGTCATCTGTAATATCCTGCCACTGGGAAAGGAAAGCAGAGAGACGTCCGCCCACAGGGAGTTCCGGATGGGGCAGATTGAGCCCCTGCCAGACCAGAGAATCGTCTGCCCACCCGGAGCCTGAGCCTGCGGGAGAAGAAAATGAGCCCGGGAAAGGAGAACCACCATCCACCCGGCCATACCCTTCGCCTTTCGCGGCCAAGAAGCAGAAATAGTCAGGAACCCTTCTTCTTGCCCCCAGGAGGTTTCTTACCCTTCCTACCCTTCCCCTTGTTGCCGTTGAAGTGAGGTTGGGACTTGGGCTGTGCAGAAAACTGAGCAGCCGAAGACTTCGCCTTCTTCTTAGGAGGCACTGACCCCTGCGAGGCACTGGCCTTCTCAGCCTGAAACCTCTTCACCAGAAGTGCTGAGGCGACCGAGTCCTCCTTCATATCCTTCTGAACCCAAGGAAGAGCTCCCCTGAACAGGGTAGAGCCCTAGAAGGGGGCATTCAACAAGCGGAAACGGTAGGGTTACTGGACTGGGCGGATTTTCAGAACTGAAAACTGCCTAGCCAACACGGCATTGACGAGCAGAGAACCTGCAAGGTTGCTGTGTCCTGTATGTCGGCTGTTCTGTCTCGGATAACCGACACTCAGGCAAATCGGATACCCTGTATAGACAAACTGTCAGGAAGTCTATGTATGACAGAACTTGGATGGAGAGGTGCAACATTCTCTCCATCCTGTGGTGCTCTTTGGGATCGAGCACCACCTGGTCCACTGATTTGCCGGGCCAGGCAGCCAGCTGTCTCAACTCCAGCTGTGCTGGTTAAGAGGCCAGCTGCCCATCATGTGTGGCATAGTCGGAAGCTGAAGCCTCCAACAATTCACCAACACTGAGCTGCAGACCGACAAACCCGGGAGCACGGGTAGAGAAGGAGTCCTTCTCTAAAACTGGAGCCCGGGCCGTGGCCAGAACCGAAGACATGATATTGCCTTCTGGCAGAGACCGATCTGAGCGAACGGAAGCCCGAGGAGCCACCAGGGAACCCAGAAGGATGGTGGATTCAGGCGCCGACGATGCTGAGGCGTTGGGCAAACCTCCGCCCTGAGAATCCGGGAGATGTTGGCCCGGAGGACCCGCATCCCAGAAAGCACATGCTGAGCCTCGGCTTCAGCAGTCTCAGGGCCATCTTCCCCTTGTGAACCCTCTTGGCCCAGGAGAAAGATGTATGACATCGTCTTCCTCTGCCGAGCCCGCACCCTCGATGTCCATCTCCTCCTCAATAGAGACCGAAGTCCCCTTGGGAAGAACAGGGGCCGCCAGAGGAGCCATCTCCGCAGAGGGGAACTCCTCTTTATGGCATTTGGACGCAGCGCGACCAACAGCCGTAGCTGTAGGCTTGGGTCGGAGACCCGAAGCCGACCCCTGGGAACAGGAGACCGACGGGTCCGCGCTGGAGGCGGAAGTCCTTAAGGTCTGGCAAACCTTTATAGGACCGGCCAACAAGGCCCCCGAAGTAGCAGAACATTGGGGGGATTCCGCACTGCTATAACATCTCCTAGAGGAGAGACCAACCCCTATGGGTTCCACGAGTGAAGACCCATGGGGTAAAATCCCAAACCCCTGAGGGAATGGGAACGGTTCAGCGGGCCGGGAGTGACCCCAGAACTGGCCAAGATGGCCTGCCTGAGTCTGGGGCTGGACACCCTGTCCAAAGGACCAGGATGAACCGCCACTCCCACCAGGTGGAAACCCAGACATGTACGGGCTAAGCCCGTAACTGCTGAGTAACTGTTGGTACCCAAAACCATCCGCAGGTTGGCCTGGGCGACCCAGGAATAAGTGCCCTACTCCCTGAGCCCGGGGGAAAGGGAGACCGGAAACCGGACTCCTGGCCTGAAGCCCCAAACCCTTGGGGGAAAACCCCCTGGGAAACCCTGCACTGGGAAATCTGGATAGGGACGGAAAGTCCCAGAGCCAGAAGCCTGTGAGGGTGGGAAAACAGACCCCGCGCTGACACCAGGATTAGTGAACTCAAGTGTCACTAATCCCCGTAGCCACAGACAATCCTGACAAAAAGTCTGTGGCCCCTGACCCTATACCCGAAGGCACAGTTCCGGAGTCAAAGCGGCCCCCACCAACGACGCCACCTGGCGCGCCGAGGTCCCTGTAGGAATCAGAGACCTCGACCGGAAGTCCCTTTCCGACGGTAACACCGCCGCCTATCGAGAGCTACCGGCCAATTCGACCCTTGACTGCGCCGAGTCAGGGTCGGGCTGCCCCCCCCCCCCCTACTCCAGGACGCACCTGGACAGGGGGAGCCACCCCCTGCTGAAGGGCGGAGCTCGGTGGAACGAGAGCACCCCCAGCAGGAACGCTCTGGTTCAGAACTTGAGGAGGGAGGTCTTAAAAAGCTTACTTCCCTTACCGGAAGAAGAGGACGAATCCCTCTTCCGGCGGAAAGTTAGCTGGAAAGGCATGGGAGCCTAAGCAGCAGACTCCATGTGCAAACAAAGTTCACATAGCGAGGTCTGGCTGCAATGTCGGCAAATGGGACAGGTATCATGGGGTTCCCATTATCTATAGAAATAGGAACATCCATGCGCTGACCCCCGACCTTTATCCAGCATCGAAACAATAAAAAATTGTAACAATGAAAACAAGGATAAAAAGTTTTCTAACAATCAAAAAACTACGAACGAGATCATTAAACCTACCGTACGCAGCAAGATTGTACTGCAAAAAAAGAAAACGGTCGTACAAAACGGCCGACAAAGCAGCAAGAAAACAATTTCAACTTCATGAAAATCCGAGTGACGAGACAAGTAGTCACGCACTCGAACACGCGGAGGAAAGACACGGCCGGAAACGAAGTTCTCGAACAATAAAAAAACTACGAACGAGAGCACAAAGCCTACCGTACGTAGCAAGATTGCACTGCATAAATAAAACGGCCGTACAACACGGCCGACAAAGCAGCAAGAAAAACAAATTCCAACTTCACGCAAATCCGAGCAACGAGACAAGTAGTCACGCACTCGAATACGTGGAGGAAAAAACGGCCGGAAATACGGTCAAAATAAACAAATGACAATACTTAATTTCACAATATAAGTTGGGAGATGGGTTTATAGACTACTAATAGAGTAACAATATACTCAAACGACAATGGCAGTACGAAGAGAAGGAGTAAGAAAAGCACTTAGCTCAGACACCTCCGCACTCGTCGGCAGCCATAAAGGTAAGAGGAAGGGAGATCACTCTGCGTTCCTGCCGTGATGGCTCATGGATCGTAGGGAGGGCGGGATTGTTTTTCTTTTGAATCTTTTGTTGTTGGGATACAAAGATGGGTGTAGGTACTGTATTTGCATACTAAAGTTATGGTAATTATTACTGAAATGAAATTGACAAATCATATCAATGGAATAAATACAAAGAATATCTATGGCTGTTGTTCCATAAAATTGTGTATTCAAATGTGATTAAATGCTACAGCTTATTATAGCCTAAAATTTGACATATAGGGAGTCCCAAAACTGTTACCACTGTGGAGGTTTCTGATTAGTTGAAATTAAGATGTTATCTGATCTGATTAAGTTGAAAATTGGTATTGAAAAGTTTAAGGGCATAACATATTCAATGATACCCAATACCATTTTCGAAAAAAAAGAAGTTTTTTCAATTTTGTTGCCATGGGAGGGATGGATGGAGGGTGGGGAAAGGGGTATTAGTCGGCTATCCTGGATACACTTCTAGTTAATTTTTGACAGGTAGACTCAAAATGCCTTTTGCTGCAACTATTTTGTAGACATTTAGATTCTAAATGTCTTTTGCTTTGACTCTCAGTTTATGCATATAGGCTATATATGCCTGTTGCTATAACCAAGTTGTAGACACATAGCTTGAAATGTCAGTATATATATATGCTTGTGGTTGTGACCTCATTGAAAACATGTAAGTCTATATTTCTTTTGTTGTATTTTACAGGTATTTCTGGGGTTGGCAGCTTTCTTCGTGGTCAGTCTGGGAGGCCTCTGTATAGGAATCATATTTGGAGTTCTGACAGCAATAATTACCAAGTATACTGTTCATGTCCGAGGTAAAGGTCATCAAAAAGATCTCAAGGTCAATGTTTGCCCATTTTCACAATTAAAATCACAGAACATTGTTAGGTGTAACAAAAGAATATATACAGAAATGAAGTCAAGTCTTCTAGAATAACATGGTTCTATTATGAGTGAAGTCATTGGTTCAGAATTGAAAGAAATAATGAGTTTTGTTGTAAATGTTCAATAAGAAACATCAGTGTATCAGCTTTGAGATGCCAAAAGTAGAGCACACCTTCACAAACTCCTATGATTAATTTGTGTTAAGATCATTATTCAGCTAAATCTGACAAAACGACAGCTTGTGGATTTAGGTAGAGGGATCAAGTTATGTTAATACCACAGCAAATTTGATTTGGCTTAACGAACATAATATCTGGTTAAAACATTCCATGGTAGGCATTGTATACGAGTTTCATTTGAGAGCTCTATAACTGGTAGCACCACCAGTCTGGTTGTCATGCCATCCTGCCCATGTGTAGGTGAGCAGTAATTTTCTTTACAATAAAAGGTTACTCCTCTGATTTGGTTAACCCTACAGTCCAGCCAGATTTATTTTGTCTATCTAATTTAATTATTTTTCTCATCCAGTCAGATTTAGTTTTGTCTATCTAATTTAATTATTTTTCTTATCCAGTCAGATTTAGTTTTGTCTGGCCAATGACAATTTATTTTCTCTAAGCTTGACTAGTAGGGTTATTCACTTCGATCACTTAATATGTATATTCCCACTATCTGAATAAAGCTTGTTTTTATATTCACAGTTGTGGAGCCGCTGGCTGTGTTCGTTCTGGCTTACATCTCCTATTTAATAGCGGAGCTCTTCCATTTCTCTGGGATCATCAGGTTTTTAATTTGTAGCCATCATCAAATCACCCTATGGCTATGGTCGTCTGTACCTAAACAATTCTTGCTTATATTAGTTATTGAGAGCTACTGGAGGGATCCTTCTCAAGTTTTATAGGAAAGTTCCTCTTGGTTGCTAGATGTGCTCCTTTGAATTTTAGAACTGATAAAAAAAAAAAAAAAAATAGCAGAACAGGCAGTCATTTTGGTTTTGACTTTGAAAAAAAAAATTTTTAAATTCAATAAAGTTAAGGCAAAATATGAACAAAAGAAATATTTACACAGAGATTATTGAAAAAATACAAAGAGAAGAAGACCAGGTGTACCAAAGAAGAAGCATCTTCTGCTTCATCAATAATACCTTCCATGTTAATCTTGGTCAATCCAAGTAAGTAATATTCTCAAATGAGAACAAGGTATACAACAACAGAACCAGCAAGCAAACTTAATGAATATCAAAGACATTCAGCTTCATATCGCACAAAGACATAGAATATTTCTCAATGACATTACAATGACAGACGTAAGACTAAAATAATATTAACTTTTTTGAAAACACAATTAACCAATAAGGTGATAGAAGTAAACAGACAACATAAAGTAAAGTATTTGCAGTCAGATCATCTACATATGTAATTCGGTCATGATATATTCAGTTCAGTTTTGTAGTCACTGCAGTCATTGACACAAAAATTTGGATTATTATATAAAAAACTTGTTTCATTATTTGCATTTCGTGGAACAGAAGAGAAGGGACAGATCTTTTAAAGAACAGATAAGACCATTAACAGTAGTGAGCACAACATTACTGTATATGACTTTGACATTGTATACATGTATGTTACAGTATTATCAGATGTGATCTTGACATTGTATGTTATGGTATTGTAGGAAATTACCTTGATATTGTATGTAAGTGTATTGTAGGAAATGACCTTGATATTGTATGTAAGTGTATTGTAGGAAATGACCTTGGCAATGAGAGTTATAGTATTGTAGGAAATGACCTTGACATTGTATGTTACAGTATTGTAGGGAGTGACCTTGACAATGTGAGCCATAGTTTTGTAGGAAATGACCTTGACATTGTATGATACAGCATTGTAGGAAATGACCTTGGCAATGTGAGTTATAGTATTGTAGGAAATGACCTTGACATTGTATGTTACAGTATTGTAGGGAGTGACCTTGACAATGTGAGCCATAGTTTTGTAGGAAATGACCTTGACATTGTATGATACAGCATTGTAGGAAATGACCTTGGCAATGTGAGTTATAGTATTGTAGGAAATGACCTTGACATTGTATGTTACAGTATTGTAGGGAGTGACCTTGACAATGTGAGCCATAGTTTTGTAGGAAATGACCTTGGAATTGTATGTTACAATATTGTAGGAAATGACCTTGGCAATGTGTGTTATAGTATTGTAGGAAATGACCATGACATTGTATGTTATATTATTGTAGGAAATGACCTTGGCAATGTGTGTTATGGTATTGTAGGAAATGACCTTGGCAATGTGTGTAATAGTATTGTAGGAAATGACCATGACATTGTATGTTATAATATTGTAGGAAATGACCTTGGCAATGTGTGTTATAGTATTGTAGGAAATGACCTTGACATTGTATGTTACAATATTGTAGGAAATGACCTTGACATTGTATGTTACAGTATTGTAGGGTATGACCTTGACATTGTAAGATTAAGTGTTATGGTGTAACCTTGACATTTTCATTATAGTATTATAGGATGTGGCCTTGTTCAGGCACAGTATGCCTTCCACAACATCTCACAGAAGTCACATACTACTATAAAGTACTTCAGTAAGATGCAGAGGTAAGTTATCCAAACATACAAGGCCCTTGTATGTAGCAACACTGTAGTTTCCCTGTCTGGTGTATTTAATTGCAAAACCTTGTTATATGACTACAGTCAGTAATCAGGGACATGTTGTTTACAATATTCTGCCAAGGATTATCAAGATTGGATAGTTGAGTCCTCTTTGGAATATCTTGTTTCTTGTACTTAAAGTGATTTACTGGATTCTGTACTTTGATCTTTGACTGCCAAAAAAAGTTGCCAGGGAAGATCTCAATACCATTTCATTAGCTAGTATCTTCCAGATTTTTGTCTTAAGTTCTATTTGGAAAACTTGCATTTTATGTAGATAATGTAGTCACGGCATCTTGTGACCTTAGTCATTAATAGAATAATCTTACAGGAGTATGAGTGAGGAGAGGAGGTCCTTTGCCTTACCATATGTAACATGTCCAGCATGACTGTTGTAAATGTAGATGTTTGGAACAGTATTCCATTTAATGTTGTGAATGCAACGACAGTTAAACAATTTGAATATATTCTAGATGAACATTGGAAAAACCAGCCACAGAAATATTGTTTTAAAGAAAAAATGAGCTGTGAACTTTATTTTAGTATAAATTGTATAAAGAGCTGACTATCAAAGGATTGTTAATCCTGTACATGTTTTCTGTACCTTGTCAGAATAAATCTATGTATCTGTGTATGACTGGGAGCACTATTTTTCATAGCAAACTAATGTATTCACCAAACGTTGAGATCATTCTTGGCCGTTTATTTTCAACCTAGTTTAATTAACATGTACATATAAAAATTTCATATATATATTTGTGTCTGTCACCTGATAGAATATCATTAAATCAGTGTTAATTAAGATTATGTGAAATGTAGCTGAGTATTATATGACAATGTATTAATTCACGATGCTTTGTTGTAGTTCGACCAGCGACTGCATCATCTTCCTGTTTCTGGGTATTGCACTGTTTAAACCAAACCTGTTTGACAGTAAAAACTGGCATCCAGGTTTTATACTATGGACACTTTTCCTGTGCCTTTTGTATAGGTTTCTTGGTAAGTTTGAGATGTAAAACAGTTGTTGTCAGCAAGACTGTATGGCATTCAGTAATCTTTGACATTCCAAATGCCATACCCAAGTATTAATAAGAAATTCCTAGCATCTGGAATATTTCTATTGTTTTTAGATAGAGAAAGACAAAGTTTCAGTGTTTAATGATTTTCAAAATGTTTATACTGTTACTAAAGGAGGTATAAACAGTTTTAAGTAGTTAGATATGTCCATCTGCCACCACATTGTGTTGTGTTCCAGGTGTTATATCTTGAGAAACAGATTCAGTTCATGTTTACCCCTAGTGTTATAGATTCTGTTTAAGAGCAGGGGCATTCATACCTGGACATTTCTAGTCAACTGAGATCTTTTCTAATTGCCTTTAGTTTGCCGTGCATCTGTATGTCTGGATTTTGGCTTCCAGATGATAACTTGAAACAAGGTGGATGGATTTGAATGAACCTTTATTGACTGTTAGGTTATGAGGTAATACAGAGTGGGATTGAGTTTAGGATTGAAAGCTCAACTACAAAGGTCACTGTTACCAAAAATAGCATTTTTTGTCAAATTTTGGTTTCCAGATAACTTCAGAAAGATTGATGGATTTGGTTGAAACTTCATAAAATGTTCACTTATGACATAATATAGAGTGAGATTGAGTTTGGATCAAAAGGTCAACTACAAAGGTCATTGTTACTAATAAAAGACTTTTATAATCATATTTTGGCTTCCAGATGATAACTTATATAGGGTTGACCAATTGTTTTGAAATTTGATGCAATCTAATATTATCAGAAAATATATAGGAGGGGATTGAGTTAGGGGTCAAAAGGTCAACTTTGAAGGTGGTGAAGGTCATTTACTATAATAGATATTTATCACCATTATTAAGGCCCCACATCTTTACAGTTTGATGGAATAACACTAGTAGTCACTTGACCAATGTTCAAGGTCAGTGTGTCAAAAGGTCAAGGTCAGTTTTACATCTTTTCATGTGTATACTGACAATGTAACTAGAATTGTTAAATTTACCCTTAAAGGTTAGACACAAAGCCTGGACCTTTCTGACATGTCAGTGTTTTACTTTGTTTTTCAGATAATCACTTTTTTTATCACGTTATTTTCTGGTTTTTGCTTCCTTCCTGTCGAGACACTAGTTTTTGTTAAATTGAGTCATTGCTTTCAAGGTCTATGCTGCTTAGAAAATTTAAATAATGGCAGTGGGGAGAGTGTTGCATGAAACACTAACAGTAAGCGTGTTATGCGTGATTTGTGCCTAATGATATATCTGGTTGGTAAGATTTCAATTTTAGCTTTAAATCAGCTTTGCCTTTAGGATTGTATAGGTTTTTGTAACTTGACATTCCTCAGATTTCCCTATTTGTGATTATGAACTTTGACATGACCTCTGTGACCTCATTGATATGATTCTTGATGCAATCCATGTCTACAGAAAGGTTGTTCAGGTAAATGGTATTGTTTTAATTATTTGTGTTTCAGTTGTGTTTGTGCTGACTTACTTTGTAAACAAGACAAATCGGATGAGAAGAATTGATAGAGAAGAACAGTTCATAATGGTAATTAATAACTGTTTCAAGAGGGTCACAAAATAGATCACCAACAGCTGGGACTTTACAATGGTGGATTGAGATCTTCTACAATTGTAATACATTGTACTCATGTTCAGGGCCTACAGTAACATGCCAATTATCTGTCTTTGTTCAAAGTCTAGTACATTAATTTTGCATCCATGTTCGGGGCCTACACTAGCATGCCCATTATCTATCTTTCTTCAAAGCTTAGAATATGAACTCTGTGTCCAGGTTCAGAGCAAATGATGGCTGGTATGACTATTTTGTATTTCCTTGTTCAGGCTTGTTTAGAACTTTTAGTATCTATATTAGTGTGTTCAGTATCTGTCCATGTTCTGGGCCTATGATAACATCCAACATGTCCATTTATATTGTAGGTAATAATTTTTAACATTTCAGGAAGATTTCAAATGTCGGTGTTCTGTATTAATGATGTTTACTTGGTGAAATCAAAGTCTACATGCTTTTTAATACTTACTAGGCCTATGGAGGATTGCGCGGAGCTGTTGCCTTCTCCTTAGTGAACCTTTTAGAGAATGGTGGACTTCCAAAAGACATGTTTACCACAGCAACACTTTGTCTGATCTTCTTTACTGTTTTCCTACAGGTATATATCAGCAATAACAGACTGATTGTGATTTACTAAGTATGGTAACAATATTGATTTTTCCAGGGATTCGACCCTGAAGATATTGAACCCTGTAATATCACATGTTAATACCTCCAATACTTGAATTTATTTAAATGTCAGATGTAAAATAAATGAGAAAAAACACCAAACTGAAACTTGTCACGTTATCCCAGTAGGACTTACCAGGTAATAACAGAATTGTGAAGAAACTATGTAGATAATTTTCAGTACTTATAGTCATTGTAAATGTGAGTCTTGTGTATTACCATATCCCACCCACCAGTTATGATCTCTAAATAACATATGTTATACTTGTTGTACAGGGAATCACTATCAAACCACTGGTGAAGATTCTTAGAGTCAAGCTCCAGGAGAATGATAAACTTCTCATCATAAGTGAGGAGATCAACATGCAGGTGAGAACAAAGAAATATCCCGTAAAACAACAGTCCTCCAAATGTTGGCAACTTTCAGACGGCAGTCATAGTGTAGTAGGGAAAGTTTCAAGTTTTGTGTAGCCAGGCATTTTAACTGTTCAAACATACAAATGATAATTTGAAGTATATGACACACAGTGAGCTTCAAGTGACTTCCCCCCCCCCAAATAAAAAACACTAAAGTTACCATTTATCTTTAAATTACCAATTGTATATGAGATCATAGTCTCTAATCTTATCCATGTACAAATAATCAAAAGGGAACTTTCACTAGACATTGAAACTTTTCAAAGAATATCAAAATCAATTATCTTTATTGTAACTTTTCTTTTTTAAAGGTCACAGATCACATCATGGCAGGTATAGAGGAGGTGATTGGTGAAAGAGGAGAGCACTACTTCAGGGTAAATTATATACAAGTCTGCCAATTTATGTCCTGTCTCCAGCTTATTTTAGCCTTTAAACAGTTTGTTTAGAACTTGTGAAAATGGTCATCTCTTCACCAGGTACAGAATAATGTGTATGCAGATATTAAAATTAACACTAGGTGACAGAATGACATGTTGCTTACTACAGTATTTTGATTCTATTTATAGCCCCTAAAGGCCAAGCCCAAGGGTTTCGTGAGTTTACAAGTATTAATTTAATGGTGTCCCATTACATTAAAGAGCATGTGCAATTCCTTCATTTGCTGGCTAAGATAAATTGTTTATCTTTTTTCTCCAGGAAATCCTTGAGCACTATAACAGAAAGTACCTAAATCTGTGGCTACAGAGAGACCCCGTCAGCATGGATGAACACATCATGTTCATGTTTGAGCAAATTGCCTTACAGTAGGTGTCATAATATAATCAGCAAGGTCAAATTAATATACACATCTTTTCCACTACTCTAAATACTTTTTTCAGATAAAAGATACCGGTTATTAAAAAATTTTGTCCTATTTTTTCAGACAGCATTTTGAAAATTTAGCTGGGTCTAAAATGATACAAGATAAATATGCAAGTTCTGAAGTTCTTCTGCCATCGCAGTTGCTCCAAAAGACGTAAGTATGCTCTCAAATATCTAGACTAGTACCTGGTATATGTTTGTTTCTGCAAGCTGAAGGATGTGCACATTTACACGAAATCAGCTGTACATATTTGTTTTGCAACAGAGAGGCCACCCATTCAGGTGCTGACCACAATCAAAATTACTTGGACTATTAAGACACATAGAAACAACACCCACTCAGCCACAAAATCTATGATAGCTATTGGGCTATGCAGCCGATCCATTAAACTTTTCATGTTTGCTTATATGGTCCTATCAAGCCTACATGAGTGAAAACACACACCAATGAAACATTAAGTAAAACAATGAAAGTGTGTGTTAACAATGATAAATCAATATTGAGCAAAATAAGGGGGCCAAGTTGACGCAAGTGTGAAAACGATGATGAGTTTCATCATTTTTGTTAATGCTTCCAGCAAATTTTTGGGGGAGCATATAGTTGCTGCCATGACCGTCTTTCTGTCTGTTCTCTTGCGTCTGGAGCATAACTTTACCCATCATGCTAGGATGATATGCATTGTTCCACATTCAGGGCCCTTGGCCCCTTAATTAGAGAGTTATTGCCCTTTGTTCAAAATTTGTGACTAGAGCACAACATTAAATTGCTTGCATTTTAACAAGGATAATGAATCTTGGTGGATACATTGATCATAAGAGATCTATGAGAGTGTGCACTGTACCAAATTCAGGGCTCTCTTCAGAAGCGTAACTTTAATTACAGTCAACCAAGGATCATAAAACTAATTGTATGCATTGATCATACTTAATGTGCTGTGTATTGAATTCTGGGCCCTTGACTCCTAAATTACTGAGTTATTTTCCTTTGTTAAAAATATCTTGTCTAGTTCATAACTAGTTTGCATTAAAGCTAGAATAATGAAACTTGGAGTATGTATTGATCATAGGAAGAAAATGTGCAGTGTACCTGTGTTAGGACCTGTATCCCCTTTGTTTCAGAGTTGTTGCCTGTTGTCTGTATATAAATAAACAAGGATATTGAATTGTGATATATATAGAAGCAAGGTGCAATGTAGCAATGTCAATGCCCATGACCCTCAGTTACAGAGTTATTGCCCTTTGTATCATAAGCATAGCTTTGCTTGTACCCCTGGGGTATTTAAACTAGAGTCATGAAACTTGATATATACATCGGTCATACTAAGAAAATGCACAGTGTACTTCATTCAAGGCCTGCAACCTGTTTACTACAGAAATATTGCCCTTTGTTGCTTTGTAAATTCATTTTCTGAGAGCATTCATCAGTTTCACTGATGCTGGTTTTTCTTTTCTTTTAATTGTCATTTGGTTTTACTTTTTCAAACACAGGACAAAAATTTCTAACTTTGAACAATTAGATTCACAAATAACCCCTTTTTTTATCAGATTTATGTTTTAGTCTAATATTATATTTCTGTCAGTGTTTACCAAGAGGAGTGGGACAGTGATAGTTCTGAGGGCACAGTGCTGCCATCTGTTACCGTACCATCTCTACCACCAAAGTCATTGACCTTTGACCTTGGGGAAGGAGAAGCAGACATTGAAATGATACGCAAGGGAGGTAAATCTTACTTGAATATGATGAAACTTTTGTCATTTCAATCACCTGTTGGTATTTGACATAGAAAACCATACTATTGTAAATATTAGCACCATACACTGGTTTTGCTGACATGCTCAGGTTTTCCATGTCCTGGATTTGAGTAATCATTGCATCAAATTTCTTTTTTTTCAGCTGAAGCCCGAAGAGATACATTAGCAAATATTCGTAACAAGCCCATATTTGGCAAACGCCGAGAATCAAAACACATTGAAAACCCAACTGTGAAAGATGTCCGAAAGATGTTGACTCCTGTTCGCAGAGAGGTATATTTAGCTATATACATATAACACACTATTGGCCATCTTGATTGATCCATAGATCATGTGATTCTGGTCAATACATTTGTGCTGCCACTGAGTTCCTTAATTGTACTTGCATCATAACAAGGATTGTTCTGTAAGATATACACTACCACTTTTCCAGTATATGTTATGATGCAAACTTTATCATTACTTACATTAAGACTATTTAACAAAACTGATTTATTTGTAACTGTGTTTTAGCTTCCTGCCAAACTAGACAAGAATTTGAAGAATGAGAGTAGTGCAGATTTATTGAAATGTCTTCAAGAGAAACAGCTTAGAACAAGAAGGATGTCTCGTGCGGTCATGCCAGGTAATCTGCCTGGATTGGAACAGATTCCAGGAAGTGTTGAAAAGATTCCAGGCAGAAGTTTTAATGCAGATGCAGCAACAGCAAACTATCGGCGTCGTCTCAGCCTTGCTGTTCCAGCTCAGAAATCCAACTTCATGCGTGAACGGTCCCCATCAGATATAACATCACTGCGTATGATGAATCAATTCAGGGAAGGAGATGCAGGTAACAGAACTGATTTTATATCTGAAACGCAGCCAAAACGGCCAAACTTGTTTAAAAAGTCACACACTTTGACTGGAACTGAGGGCAAGGAAGATTTGTCTCCCTTGATTCGAAGAGCAAGACTTGATGTTCAGTCTGGCAGTCCGTTGAGAAACTCAACTGGACAAAAATTTGATGTCATCTCAGAAAATGAAGAGGAGGACTTCTCATCTCCAGAAAAATCTCCTAATAAAAACATTACCACAAAGCAAATAACTGAAATATCAGGTGTGGGAGATGAGGTCAGCCCACATAACTTTGTTGTAGACACTCACCCTCAACCTAGAGTTAAAGATTCAATTGATGATGGACAATTGGCTGATGATGAAGATTCAAAAGTTAAACTTAGATACTCTCCGAAATCTAGACTTAATAAGAAACGTAGTTTGTTGCAAAAAACAAAGTCTGTTGATGGAAATAACCTTGACATTAATGCAAAAAATAATGTAGCGTCACTTGGTGCGAAATCAAATAATCCTCGTCCTGTCTCTGATTGTTCTTCATATTTAAGTAATTACAAAGAATCTGAGCAGGAAGGATCATCCTTAAGGAAGCCTTCATACACTTCTGCCATTTCAATGACCGAAGGTGAAAAATCTGAGCATTCCATAAAGGTAGACAACTCTATTGAGATGGAAAACATATCAAATGAAACACAACAGGAGGGAGAAGATTAATGACAGGTGCTTTGTATTTATGACTCTATATATGGGTATATGAAGGAAATTATGTTCACATTTGTTTCAATCTTTATATATTTGCCTAAGAAATATATTATGCATGATTGGTAGTTTTGTAAGTTTATTGGCACAAACAATAAATATCATTGTTTTATTGATATTAAATCTACCTGTATGCAGAGAAGTTGTAATTTTTAAATACGGTTACATATAAATATAAGGATACTGTCTGCTTGCTTTTAAATTAAAATTAATGACTGAGAATTTGATAAAGATGGTTAGCTTGATGACTCTTTTATAATGATGAAAAATACTTCCCTGCTGGAGAAAATCATTGGTGGTAATACAGGATTATTAATTATAACGAATTTCACTGATCCTCACTATACAATGAAAATTCGAAAATCAGTCGAACTTTGATTGTCCCTAGAGGTTTTGATGAATCTACAAAACATGAAATTAACTGTAATGAAATGTAGGTATAGATGACTGGACAACATCTGTCAGAAGATATCAGCAAAATTGATTAAATAACATGTTTAATGAGATGTTTTAACATTGAATTTTGATATGGCAAAATAACATAACAAAAGTTTAGCTGTGAGTGAGAAGGAGAGTTGTATGTGTGGTAAGTTTATTCTGATTTCCTAATATATCATATGTGCCATGAAAACTTTTTAAGTTCTGGTCAGAAATCTGATTAATTGAAAGATTTGAACAGGCTATATTCTGTTAATAGAGGATACTTCATTTTGTAACTGAAAGTTAGTGTAGAGGATATACATCTACTCACAGGGTCTAGAATGGTTCTGGGTTTAAATAATCTCTTGCTTAACATTCTAATCAAAGATTCTACACCTTCAACTACTCTTGTGGTGTGGCGCATTTGTAACACACTTGCCTTTCACCTCACCATCTGGTGACAAATTCCTGAAACAGACGTGAAAATCAAGTTATGGGGTCACCTGCCCGACCACATGGGTTTTCCGCAGGTACTCCAGTTTCCCCCCACTGTAAGACCCCTCACGCCTTCAGGCCAACAAGAGTGATTAGTATAAGTTGAAATAACTTGTTTCGTAATGATGTAAAATAAATAAAGTTTATATTTATGATATCAGAAGAAAAAATTGAGTAGAGAGTAAATGACTTTTATAGTAGTATAGATCTATCACTTAGATATGCATGTAAGTCTATAAGAAAATCCCTGGTGTCTATATGTATTATTAATCTTCTAGTCAATACTTAACACTACAACCTTAGAATGAATTCAAACAGTAAGAATATGTCAAATATGTGGCCATATGTTTCATTCTTATTACAATTTTACAACTGAAATGATATACTGTATACTTATAGAGGTCATATAGAGGGTATAGAATAGAAAAAAGGAGAAGCTATGAGAATCATTCAGAATTATACTGAAGTTTGATGTGACGATATATGAACACCCGTCTGAAATCTTCTTTGCATTTAGTGTTGACCTTTCAGTAAATATTTTTCATATAGACATTATAAGACTTAATTGATGTCTACGGTTTGGCAATATTTAAGACCTTTTTCACAAAAAAGTGTACATCAATATCATTGTGGCTGTGATAAAATGAAGTCAAAAGAGACATTCCGCAGGAATAAGATCTAGTATTGTTATGTAAGGATGTTGATAGAGGTAATCCGAAGGAACTAAAATCTAGTATTGTTATATAAGGATGTTGATAAGAGTGTTCCAAATGAATTTTGAGTTAGTATTTATAATAATGTTGATAGAGGTATTCTGAAGGAAATTGGAGCTAGTATTGTTATATAATGATGTTGATAGAGGTATTCTGAAGGAAATTGGAACTAGTATTGTTATATAATGATGTTGATAAGGGTAATCCGAAAGAACTTAGAGCTAACATTGTTATGTAGTGGGACTGGATGGGGTCGAATGTCGGCTCTGTAGGTAGAGCATCAGTCTAGAGTGTTTGGAAGGTCCCAGGGTTGAACCTCAGTCTGGTCGCGCATTTTTTCTGCTCCGGTTACATTACATATGGATGTCAATGGTGGTATTCAAATGGAATTTAGATCAGTATTGTTATATAAGGGTATTGATAGAGGTATTCCGAATGAACTTAGATCAAGTATTATTATATTTTGGTGTTGATTGAGGTGTTCCAAATAAACTTAGATCTAGTATTGTTATAAAGGATGTTGATATTAGTATTCTGAAGGAACCTAGAGCTAGTATTATTATATAAGGATGTTGATAGAGGTATTCTGAAGGAACCTAGAGCTAGTATTATTATATAAGGATGTTGATAGAGGTATTCTGAAGGAACTTTGATCTAGCATTATTTTTATGGTAGGATGTTGTTTAGAGGTGTTCCGAAGGTTGCAGTTAAAATGGCTTGTACATGTCCGAGCTGAACCTGCAAGGGAAATGATAAGCACAAAATGGGACCAAGACAGGGCTGTGGAATGTTTGAGGGGTCCATTTATACATGTATGAAACTAACTGGCTGATTATCACTAGTGTTGGGAGTTTCTACATAAAATAGGGTTGGTGCACACACATTTGTGGAACTATTATGACATACAGTACAGGTATAAATGGAACATATTATCGGTCTTTAGGGTTGACAGGACTGGACATTTTGAGCTTGACATTTCATTTATTGTGGAATAATTAAATATGTGCCACCTGAACCATTTCTGAGCCAGGTTATGTAAAAGTGACCCTAAGACTTGTTATTAACAGATGTCAGTTAGAGTTATTCTGCAGGAACACAGATCTATACTCTTGTTACAAAAGAAAGCCAACAATAGAGATATTTCAAAGGAAGTATGATCTTATAAGGTTTTAATGTGTTTAATGGAGGTCCAGTGAGATATTTTGATAAGGCTGCATTTTATGACAAATAGAGTTCAATAGAGACATTCTAGAGTAGTAATAGATCTCAGGGCTTAAGCATGACAGGTCTGTTAATGATCTTATAAAAAAAAACATAAGTAAGCCTGTATTTGGATGTAAAATATGTCACCAAGGTGATTTTGTGATTCCCAACTCTCAGGTTCATGCTATGTACACTGTTATGTGATTTATAACATATGTATTGATGATCAATATAACCTTTCAGTTTGGTGGTGATTCTGTATATATACATATTTCTATATCACCTGGGGAGAGATGCAACCCGCCTATAATAAAAATATCCAGTTATATAATTTGGATTCAAGATGAAAAAAGATAGTATGTGTTCAAACATTTTCAATTTTAGATTTATAATAGAGTGCTATTCTACTGTGTGCATTCAATTTACATTTGGTTTTTAGCACAAGATCATTGGATAGTGGGCTATTTAAATTTTCCTGCATTGTCTATCGTTGGTTGTCTGTCAGTAAACAGTTCTTGTTTTTCGTTATTTCTTGAGAAATGGTGGATGGATTTTTCTCAATTTCACATGGTGGTTCTTATTGGTCCTTGTCGTGCCCTTTTGATTTTAAGACTGATCAGAAAAACAAAATGGCGAAAGACCAACATCTTGGATTTTGGCAAAAGACAGATGATAGAAGAGAAAAGAATGGAAATGATTCATGATTAAAGAACAAATAAAGACGAAACAAAGGTGGATGCCAAGAGGGATCCGTTGTTATTACTTCTTACTGTTTACTTATTTGTAATTCATATCGTTATTTCATGTCGTCATAAATGTAAGTTTTAAGTTGATCTAATTTTAGAATATATACCTGTTGTACTTTAGATTACACTTTGTACTGATTTTAGTCAGAGTAATTTGCATAATAATACACTGTTATGAGATTTTTATTGATGTATTAAATAAATACGTTTTTAAACTGACGTTTCAAATGAAAAAAAAAACACCAGGAAGAAGTATTTGCCTTTAGAGTCCATTTGGTACAGTGAATTGGTGTGGCACATGGAGAGCTGTTAAATGTCATACAGTGAGCTTCAAAAAATGTCAAACACAGGGTGTTAACAACAGAGGGTAACCAAGTGTCAGACAGAGGGCTACCATGTATGACATAGAGAGCTACCAAGTGACACAGTGTTAAGAAAGTGTCACACACAGGGCTACCATGTGTAACAAACAATGGACTACCTCATGTCACCCAGAGGACTACCAAGTGTCACACACAGAAGGCTACAAAGTGTCATACAGTGGACTACTATGTGTCACAAATAGGGCTACCCAAAGTCACAAATTGGACTATCATCTGTCACACAGAGGGCTACCCAGTGTCAAACAATGATTACCATGTGTCACCCAGAGGGCTACAAAGTGTCTGTGATTGCCTTTCAGTGTTTAATAGTACTTTTAATGCTTTGCTAGATAACCTTATTTTTCTTTGTCAGCATTAAGGATTATACAACATTTGTATTTTCAATACTCATAATATATTAACTGTCTCATTTATATTTTATTTGACAGTATTGTTTCAGACATGTACACGATGAAATGCCAAAGGTCAAACATGTATAGTTAATAACTTAATTAATTTAATTCCTGTTGTAATCACTGGTTTGTATTTGATAATTGCACATCATTATTTATTTGTTTAAAATTTGTACCTTGTATGCTTAATACACAATGGAAAAGTTGTATCGTTCCATTTCTGAAATATAATTTTGACATTCTTTCAAGAAAACACAGTCAAGTCATCATTAGAACCACCAGGTCAACATATATGTTACTAGGCAAAGTCCGGCGGTGGCCTTTGATAATACACAGTGTCGAGACTCTTACTCATAAACCATGTATATGATAAGACACTTTGGGTACATAATTCAGCCAGTTCCTTAAATTGTTCCATGCATTTTCAGTCCCAAAATGATGACATTAAACAAACTGAAATATTATGACCCAGTTACATACTGTTTAGAATATATCAACATAATATGCTATGAAACATCCTTTGAATTAGATAGTGCCCAGAGTGGGGAAATTACTGTATTCATTTAGATAATACTTGTTGAAATGTCTGATAGAGTACAGGCC